ACACGCTGCATCACTATCTTAACTTGCCCTTTGAAAATTTTACTTATGCCACATTATTCTTGTTTTATGTCTTTATTACAATTTCCACAAGATGTGGGGAATAAAATTGTTGAGGTGGGCGTGTGACCACACGAGGGGTAAGTGTAGAAGTGAAGACGTATAGAGAAGGTGGGAGGACACTTGTTTAGGAGAAGAGTCGAGTTGGACCAAGTGGAGAAGTTGGAGAGTTGGACCAATGGCATTGTTAGGAGAATATAATTCTAATAGTCTATGTTTCTTATTTTATATTTAATACTTGGAGGTTGCAAATGCCTATCTGTTGTTGGCCTGTGCATGGAGGACTGGGCCCTAGTGTTCTTGGAGGCCCAAGATCGGGCTACCGAAGAGGGCCACCGTAATAGGCCATAACTCCCGCTTCGAGTCTCTGTTTCGTTCCCACGACTAGTTGATTCAAAGTCTGGAGCGAGGAACTCGCCGTGGTTATGCTTTTGAACCCTTAAAACACTGTTTAAGCATGGTTTTTGGATTTCATGTTTTTTTTACTCCTTTTGGCTTTTTTTGTTGGGCTTCTTATGATTGGGCCATAGTTTTTTTCAGGCCTATTTTGTTTTGGGCTTCCTATTTATATGCGTCTTGTATAATCTGGATGATTACACTAGGATTTCAGAAACTTTTGATTTTATCCCAAATTTTTGAGTTATTGTGAATTCAAATTTGAAGCCTAGGTTTGGTATTCGTCGAATCAACAAATCCTAGAAGATATTAGCCACGGGAATTCTTAGAATCAACGAGGTAATTTGGGTTTTCATTGTTACATGTTGCATCACTATCTTAACCTTACCCTTTGAAAAAATTACTTATGCCACATTATTCTTGCTTTATATCTTTATTACATTTTTCACAAGATGTAGACTTGCACTTTCTGAACAACAAACCTTTTGTGCCCAAACAAATCCCAAAATGTGGAAACATGAAAACAAACATAAAGGGTGAAACCCCTAGTGATGGAAAAAGTTATAGGCTGTTTGGCAGTTGTTGAATGATTTGGTGCAGAATGATTAAGTGGTCAAAATGATTAAGAGGCTTTCATGATATATKGTAAAATGAAATATAATTGTTTGGTAATTGCTTACAATGAAATTAGGGTGCTTAATGGTTAAGGGAGATCCATGATACAAAATCATTCAGAGGGTTTTAGAACCATTAAGAGATAATTTTTTTTGCCAAACAAGATTCAGCTCTTAATGATTCAGATGTTGCCTCTTAATGGAACTATTAAGAGGTAGACAAACAACCCCTAATTATCACTTGTGCCATATGATATCCTTAAAGTTTATGTCTTTCAACTTCGTTAAGCAGACTAACAAAGCTTTTCGTTATTCTCACTTTAACTAATTTTTAAGCTTCATTTCCTTGCCATAATGGGAGAGAGTTTCTCATACAAGGTAACTTTTAGAAGCGTATAAAGCTTGTGGATGATGTTGACTCAACTGCAGCCAAATAGATTAAGGTTGATTTATTGCTTGAAAGTTTTATGACCAAATCATATAATTATTATGTTGGTTCTACTTACCACAAAACCCTTTTATTCCGCATTTAATCTTCATTATTTCTCAAACTTTCAAGTTCTTTATTTTCTTTCTTTTTTCTCATACATTTGTGATAGTATGTTGTTCTTTTTGCAAGCATTCTTTCTTACAATTGGTTTTTCTTAGTCATCCTTATTGGAAAAAATCCAGGTAGTGGCAGATGTTAAACAAAAAGTTGTGGAAACTGTGGAAGTTAAGAACGGCTCAGATGTAAACAGAAGAAAACAAATATCCATCAAGAGGACGTGGTTCCCTGGTTAAGGACTAGACAAGAATACAAAATTCCAGCTTAGTACTCTGGTCATCAAATGGTCTTCTCGAGAACTCACTTAAAAAGGTATAGTTTCTAAACCATTTTAGTGTTGTTGCTGTCGAGTACCAGGAGCATAGACCTTTAATCTAATTAGGGGGTGCTTACATTTTTTTTCCATTACTCCCTGTATGGGCTAAGATGTGTGTAGATAAAAGCATATTGTTGTATGGACTAACACCGATCTGAACCATCGTTGATTTGAACCACTGTCGACCACTACCGATTTGAACCACCACGGATCTGATCCACCGTCGATCTGGACCACCATCGATCTGAACCATCATCGGTGACCACCATCTGAACCACCATGGATCACCACCGATTTAAACCACTGTCAACCATCACCATCTGAACCACCATCAATATGAACCATCACCAACTACTGCCGATCTGAATCACCGTCGGCCACCGCTGATCTGAACTATCGCCGACCATCACCAATCTGAACAACCACCAATATGATCCATCACCGATTTGAACCACCGCCGATCTTAACCATATTTGATACCGCCACCTGAACCACCACAGACCACCAACTATCTGAACCACTGTCGACTACCTGCGACTACCACTGATCTGAATTACCGTCAGGTACCGTTGACCACATACGATTTGAAAAACCATCAATCTGAACCACCACTGACCACCTTCATCTGAACCACCACGAACCACCATCGATTTGAACCACTGCGGACCACCACCATCTGAACCACTACGGACCACCACCGATCTGAACCGCCACCGATCACCGTTGATTTAGTAACGTCGTTTGACTTAAGGTTATATTTGGTTTGTGTATTATATATTGTTTTACATATTAATTAATTATTTTGTTAAAATATTTTTAGTTTTAAAAAAATTAAATCTTTTAAAAAAGGACATTTTGGTCATTTACCGATATTTCATTCCAATTCCAAAGCTACATTCTGTGAATCAAACAGACAGATTCCAATTCTTTAACAGATTCCATTCCAATATATGCCAACCAAACAGGTGGTCAAACCTGACAACGTTCCATTCCAATTCTTTCAAAGTCAAATTTATTTAACATATTTCGTTCTATCCAAAAATATTATTTGAACCAAACGCCACCTTAGAATAAAAGCTTTTTTATTTATTTAAGGGGGTGTTAGGGATTTGCTTATAAAAGTAACTTATTGACTTATTCCGGTATAACACCGATAATAAACACTTTTAAGTGTTTAGATAAACAACTTATAACGATACCAAACCAGTAATAAGAAGTTTTTAAAAAAATTAAACAATTGTAACTTATAATAAGTATTTTTTTAAAAAGATATAAATTGTTTCAAATAAACAATCATATGCCACTAATTGTTAACAAAAACAAGTAAACAACCTTTGTCTAAAGCACAGGCAATAAAGCTTAACCCCTTCGAAAGACATTTCTGCTTATTCCTCTCCTTTACCACCCATACATATCGATCCACACCCAGAAGATTTCTTAAAAAAACCCTAATCGTCAAGAGACACTCCCTCCCAAAATCCCCAATCATCCTAACCTTCGATCATTGTCAGAAACGTTCCCATTCTGACATGCGATCTCATTGATGCACCATTTTCAACTGTTTGTAGTCATCAGTTTAATTCGAGCTTCCGGGTTTTTAAAACTGTTGTCGAATAAGGTTTTCTTCAGCCCAATCAATTAACAATGTCAGAGGACGTGCTTTTACACTTCACCTCAAACTCCTCTAATCAATCCGACCAATCTTTACCATCAAAAATTGCAAAACTCGAAGCACGAATGGTGGGTAAAACCTCCACGGCTGTGGTGTCTCCTCTTCAGCTTCCTGCTGCACAAGTCGGAGCGACGCGGTCGTCAGTTTCTTCTTCTTCTGCTGCTTCCAAGTTTGGAGCTAATGCTGCTGGTGGGATTTGTGCTGAATCATTAGATTCCAGCGATTCAGAAGAGGATGATACCGTGAGTCATTTGAATTTTCTTTCGTGTGCTGAAACTCATCTACTTTTTCTTAATTATGTTATACTTTTTGTTGTTGTTGAACTTTGTGTGGGCTTTAGTTTAAGAGTGATTTCAGAACCATGTAGACTAATGATTCTAATGTAGAAGTCTATCAAATAGAAGCATTTCCAATGCCTCTTTGGTTTTGAGCCTCATGATATGGAGAGGTTTTAGATGTCACAGTTTTATAGGTGCGAGCTCTAGAAAACCTAATTTTTATTTTCAGTATCACCCCAATGTAGGTGGAGCACAATAAGTTCATTTCTGTAATGTACTTTCCATCTCTTTTCCTGTTTTCTTGTTATCTCTTGCTACTAATATGTTCTTCAATTGAAGTGCAAAACGAATTGAAAATTGACTTGTTTCACTATCTATCTACTATCCGGATAAGGGAATTTGGCACATTAAGATCGAGGAGAGAGGCACCGTTTGTGATGATTATGTAATTTTCACGTCTCATATGCATATTTAATGCTCTCATTGATAGCTAAATTGTGAGAGCTATACATATAAGTTTTCATGTATGGATATCTTTTTCAAAAAAGACAGGAGGAACCTTGTTATTTTTCAAGGAAGGCCAAAGGCTATATACAAGTGGGGACTCCAAAAGCTACTTACTTGTCTGGTAAGCTATATACATTCAAAGAATGCCCATGGAAGGCCGAATGTTGGACAATTGGGGACTCCGAAAGCTATATATTTGTTTATTTTAATTTAAAAGTTATGCAATTTGCTTTTGGGCTTCTTATGCTCTATTCAACCGAGTACAACGATTTCCCTGTTTTTCTCTAGTCAATGAACAATCATAAGCATAATCAAATCATCGGCATGATCCATGAGTCAACCACAAAATCATGAGCTTTTAGAAGTTCTATTCCATACATGGTTGTATAGAGCAAGCTTTTTCTCGGTTCCAAAAAGTCTACAAGAGATATTAAGTTTTTAGTTACATCTTTAGTCCGTTTATGTACATAGTATTGTTGTAGTACCTCATAAGTTCTTATCAAGATTATTTTCGAAAAGCAAACACCTTGGAAATCCCATCATGCTGCTAACTGGGAATACCTTTATCATGGAACTGAGAGAAGTCACTATAAATTCGACTATGTCATGGTAGCTGCAATAAGTTTATGTATGCATTTTGTTGGCTATTTGTTAGTTTGATAGAGAGGCAGAAGATGAGGTAAGCATATCCAGGTTTGAAGTATTTAGGAATGACATTTTTGTTAATTGGGATAATTGTTAGAAGAAAGATGGAGAGATTGATGAGGAATGGCTAAGAAGAACATGGTTGAAATGACAGGCTGCTGTAGTCTTATGTGATAAAAAATTGCCATTGGAACTTTGGAATTGAAAGGTGAGTCCTATAGAATGATCTATGATTAGCAATGCAAAATGGTGAATGGAAAAAAAGGCATACACATGAATATGGGGAATAAAATTGTTGAGGTGGGCGTGTGACCACACGAGGGGTAAGTGTAGAAGTGAAGACATATGGAGGAGGTGGGAGGCAACCTGTTTAGGAGAAGAGTAGAGTTGGACCAAGTAGAGTCGTTGGAGAGTTGGACCAACGGCATTGCTAGGAGAATTTAATTCTAATAGGCTATGTTTCTTATTTTATATTAAATACTTGGTGGTTGCAAATGCCTATTTGAT